TGTGTGTGTGTGTGTGTGTGTGTGTGTGTGTGTGAGAGAGAGAAGGATCAATTTATTTCACCAACAGCTTCCCTCCTCCCACTTCTTTTATGCAAGGGAGGGTTTGTCAGGCCACACCAGACATATGTGTGCAGAATACAGTGGGTCTCTCCATGCTACCTCTTAGAACCCAAATTCTGCTGTAAGCCGGGTTTGTCCAACTTGCTGATCCATTACCTCATCATCATCTACTTCACTAACCCAGTGGTTTCTTTGCTGAGTTTGCTGAACCGTGTACTAATCAGATGAGTTAGGGTTGTGCAACATGCTAGCCTATCATGTAGTAAACTTGTTTTTAGTTCAGTGTAGGGTGGGAACCCAAGCCTGGGAATCTAAAATTTAGGTCCTTATGGCAAATGCCACAGAATCAAGTGAGTGTGTGGTGGATCCTTGTACAGCCAATGCTCATGGCTTCAAAACAACCTTTTTCCTGCAGTGTTGCCAGTTGGCTTGGATGGCTCTTAGGAGACATTTATTTACACAGTGAAAAGGTGAGGCCCACCTTGGAGTCAAGCTTGACTGCTGTTAGCTATCTGCATGCAGTTTTCCTGACAACATTATGAAAGGGGTTTGCTGAGAATATCCTTCTCCTAGGATGTTTTTTCAGCTCCCTTAGTGAAGCCTAGAGCCCAGTGATTCCTGCTGATGACCTAACCAAGCCCTAACCGAGGCCAGTCCTGTTTAGCATCCGAGATTAGCCACGGATTCTACTGTAATCTCCCCCAAGCTTCCTCTGAGCCTGTGTAGCCTCCAGCTGGCTGTTCTGAGTTAGAATAAATTAATTTCTAAATGTGCTGGCTCTCTATTGTCCTTTGGAAGGCTTTAGATGATCTCTGGGGTGGGAAAAGTCATTGTTATTCTTCCTTTTAGGGAAAGGCTGCTCTGGAGGCTATAGTCAGCTGGTCGTAGAGTTCATAGAACTGCCTGGCTTCCAGAAGATAAATCCACAGTCTGTCTCAGGGGTTAACTAAGATAGTTCTGCGTCCTATCCTCAAAAACTGCTCTGTCAGGATTAAGGGCATTTTTTTTACATTATATTGTGAATATACTTTTTTTCTTCATAATGCTGCTTGGGAAGGGGAGTATCCATTCTTATATCATCTGCTAAAGATAATATACATACCCCCCCAAAAAAAATTATTCTGGGAGAGAGCGGTTTAAATTGAGGAATCTTTCTCTGTATCCCCAGTTCAGCTTGGGATTGTGTGGTTTCTTTGTGGAAAAAGAAAATTACAGCTATAGCACTTCTTCTGTAAGAAGAATGTGTAGCTGGCCTCAAACAGTAACACATTAGATAGAATGTTGCCCCTTCATCTTTTTATATGAAGCATTTCTTTCAGTTGTGAGGGGTCGTAAAGAAGCACCTCTACTTTAAGTGGCCATTTCTGTTTTGTCTTTATGCCTAGTGGTGAGAGGAACAATCCAAAACATTAGCCATGATTCAGAAAATCATGTGACTCAGGTTGACGTTAGCGTGGACAGAGTCTACAGGCAGAAAAACCGGATCTTCCAGCCAGAAGAAACCACGGGCGAGTGGCGAGGACCCATCAAGACCCTCCTGCAGTGTAGGGTGAAGAAAGGTGCTGGGGATTTCCTCTTCATAGGCAATGAGCACTTTGGCGAAGGGTGGTTGGGCTGCGCCCCAAGATTTAAAGACTTCTGTGCTGTCTATCAAACTGCCAGAGAGAGAGGAGCAAATCCTTGTGAATTTCAGCGTGACTGATGCCTGCCAACCTTGATCAAGATAACTGGTTTCAGAACAGTTTGTGTGTATAGAGGAATGGTCCCAATTATTGACATAGATGGAGCACTAAAAGAAATGTGCGTGGGTGCCAGGGAGACTTAGCTTCAAGTCTTCCTCTGTCATGGAATTAATGTGGTATCTTGGGTTAATTGGCTTCATCTCATTTCAGTTCCCCTTCTGTAAAATCAGAAGAGCAATGACCTACCTCACAGGGTTGTTGTGAGGGCAAACAATACATGGAAAGCACTTTGCTAATAAAAAGGCAGAAAAATGACTAGTGATTGTTGGGTCTAAAATTCAAAGAACATGTTATATAAAAAAGAGAAAGCATCCCAGTTAAAGGGGATTTTATTCTATTGAGTATTTGGGATGAAGAAGATAGGAACCTTGTTGATTTAATGGTTTCTAACAATTTAAAGGAGTTATCTCCATTCTAGAGTTTGGAGTGTACTTTGAGGCAGAGATGGAAATCCTAAGAGAATTTTTTTTTTTCTCAGATCAAATATATATCAACTTTCACGTACCACTTTGTGATGACAAAGTTGTCCCTTATATTCAATTAAGTTATTTGAAGATTTATAAATATTTCATATTTTAAACTTTTTGTTGAATTGTTGTTCCCCAGCGATGAAGGCCTAAGGTCTAAGACTAGATGGGGCCTCCAGAAGGAGTCCACCACATGCAGGACCTGGCTCCATCAAAGACCTGTTTGTGTTCCTGGGTGTGGGGAAAGTTAGTTTCAGCCCATGATATGTGGTCTTTTATTGTTGTTTTTATTATGGATTTGGGGCTGTGTATATTGTTGCTGATATTATTTTTTTGGTTGTTTTTGTGTGCTATTAGCCACGCAGAGCCTCTATGGTGAGATGGGCAGCCTTACAAAATAAATAAGCAAACAAATAAATAATGCTTTTTGGAGAAGTTACAGACTAGATAATCAGCTTTATTTGTACCTAGGACACATGCAACATTTTTATTTATTTTTATTTATATTTCAAATTTGGCCACTGCCTATCTCACTAGGAAGTGACTCTGGGTGGTTTACAGTAAAAACAAAGAATATTAATTAAAATACAAGAAAAATACAAGAAAAACCAAATACATACATAAATAGTAATATCTTCCAAGATGGTGCTGGTAAAAAGGATATTAACATACAGGAGCATCTTCAAGGTGCTAGCCACCCCCAGGGTTGGTTGTCCCTTTTCTTGCCCCATGCCAGTTGGCAGAGCCAGGTCTTAACTGCTTTCTGGAAGGTTGAGAGAGTAGGGGCCTGCCCCACCTCTGGGGGGAAGGTATTCCACAGAGCAGGGGCCATGGCAGAGAAGGCTCTCCTCCTGGGCCCCACCAGTCGACATTCTTTCGTCAGCGGGGTCCACAGCATACCCTTTCTGCTTGACTGGGTGGGATGGGTCGATGTAATGGGGGTGAGACGGTCTGTCAGGTAATATTCCTGGACAGTATACTAGTTAGTTACTACTACAATATACTAGTTAGTTTCAGAACTTTCTGGCCAGGATGCCACAACACCAACATAGGACACTATTGTCTCAAGCATACTCCTGTTATTCTTTGCAAAGGAGGGTCTCTAACTGAGACACCACATTGCAAGCCAACATACAGTTACCTGCGTCTTACCAACTAGGAGCGAAACGTAGTCTGTTGATAGATATGCAGGATATATGTAAGTGAAAAGGTTTACTGTATGTTTGTTGATTTAGAGAAAGCATCTGATAAAGTGAACAGGCTTGAATTACAGAATGTTTTACACAATTACGGAGATGAAGGTTGGTTGCTCAGTGGTGTAAGAGCAGTGTATGACTGAAGGAAAACACATTTGAGACTCAATAGACTGCTTAGCAAATGGTTCAACATTGAGCCAGGAATACAATTAGGATGTGTACTGTCCCTTTGTTGGTTGATATGTCTGTGCAGAAATGTGTAAGGAACACCTGTGATTATGTCAGAGAGATGTTGGCAGGAACATGAATGTATGTGCAATTTTGTGTGCTAATGATGCCATGTTGTTGGCTGGAAACTGAAACGATGGGAAGATTGAACTTTAACACTTGCAACTGCCTATAGAAAGATAGTGGGAAGCGTGTGATCTATGGTGAAGAACGAATGTTTGCCACAAGAACTGAAAATTAGAGCTTGCTTCTGCCCACTTTATTACATGCATATAAGAATGTTTGGAAATACAGTGGGACAAAAAAGTATTTAGTCAGCCACCAATTGTGCATGTTCTCCCACTTAAAAAGAAGAGAGAGGCCTGTAA